ATTTTGATTATATTTTTGAAACATTGACTATACTACATTGGTATGTGCTAAACTTTTCATTTTATTAACGTTAACGATACTTACACTAATTTTTTTTTTTTTTTTGCACAGCAAAAGATATTTGATTATATATAGTACAAATGGTACTCCTGCTCATAATACAAAAACAAGGAATGTATTGAGCATCTACTAACTATGTCTTTATTCCAAGTAGAGTCAATTAGTTGCTCAATGCTTCCTATGTAATTACAGTGAGTATAAATCCATCAATATCCTCTTAACAGTGAGGATAATCCTACCAAGCATAGCACAAGATTCTATTTCCTACCGCAGTTATCTTGAAGACATGCTATAGGATTGATTAACCAATCAGAAAAATTAAACAAGCATTTGGGTCTCTTTGTTTTAATCCACAAAAAAGATTTCAGTTGAATGTGGTCGAGCAACTTACTTTTGTTCACGTCGAAATCTCGAAATACGTTTTGATTTCTTGTGAGCCATATGGACCACACCACTATGTTCCAGACATAGTCCCAGCCTTCCTTTACATGTGACTCCTTAGCCCAGCCCCCAAATTGATGAAATGATTTCCAGCAATCTGATTCTAAAGTGACGATAATTCCCCACCATTTCCCACAGGCCTTCCACAACCACTTAGCTATCCTACACTTCAAAAAAAGGTGTTGTGCGTCCTCGATCTCCCCCTCGCACAAAACACAATTTCCCTCACCCAAAGCATTAATAATCCCTCTTCTTTGCAAATTACTCTTGGTTGGTATTCTATCCTACACTAGTTGCCAATTAAAAGCAGAGATTTTGCTTGGAATGGTAAGGTTTCATATTCTCTTGTAAATTGAAAGTGTACCCAGTGCATTTTGCTCCTTTGCCAATATTATGTATGCTGTTTTTGTTGAGTAGTTGCCTTCCTTGCTATGCTCCCATTTCCAAGTGTCCAGAATGCCCAGATATATCTGCACGCCATCAACCTTTCTTTGCACTTCCGCAGCTTCTTCTCTTTCCCAGTCGAATAGGGCTCTCCTCCACTCAAGGTTCCACTTCCATGTTCCATTTTCCTCATAACCCATTTGGCAACATTCTTTGTCCTTTCATGTTGATAAAGAGTACAATCTCGGGAAAAGGTTAGCAAGACATCCCTCCCCTCCCCAATTGTCCCACCAAAAACTCACTCCCTTTCCCTCTCCTAATTTTAACTTAAAACCATCTGTTAACCACCCTTCACACTCCTCGTCCACAAAATTAAGACAACACACATCCCTCCACCATAGTGATCCTATTCCCTTTCCCTCTCTCACCCACTCAAACCAATTGCCTCCTCTCCCACCATACTTACTATCTATTACCTTATCCCACAAGCCCTGTTCTTTTTTTGCTAACCGTCCCCACCATTTCCCTACAAAGCCAAATTAAACTTCCTCATCTCTTTCACTCCTAGTCCCCCATCTTGTTTGCTTTTACAAACCTTCTCCCATTTAACCCAATTAATTTTTTTACCCTCTCCCTCTCCTCCCCATAAAAAGCTTTTGCGAATTTTATCAATAGAGTGAAGAATACCTTTAGGCAGTAGGTAAACTGACATCAGAAACATGGGCAAGCTGGACAACACGGAATTAATGAGTGTGATGTGACCCCCAAAGGAGAGATGCCAGCCTTTCCATGAAGCTAGTTTCCTTTTCACAAATTCTATCAATGGTTGCCACATTGCTATTTTTCTGTGATTCCCCCCGATGGGGATCCCGAGGTATTTAAAAGGGAGATCCTCACCTTTACAATATAGTCTACATGACATTTTTTCTTTCCATCCTTCCTCCAAATTGACACCCATAAGCTGACTCTTAGCATAATTGATTTTTAGTCCTGAAACCAGCTCAAAGGACCTTACTATACATTTGATAGCCCAGATGTTTTCTTCAGTTGCCTCCCTGAAGAAGATAGTGTCATCTACAAATTGTAGGTGTGAAACCATGACCTCTCCGCTGCCCACCATTACACCCTTATACAATTTCTTTTCAACAGCTGCAGTCACCATCCCATTCAATCGTTCAGCCACAATGAGGAATAGAAATGGGGATAAAGGATCCCCTTGGCGTATACCTTTAGTGACCATGAACTGTCTTGTCGGGCTTCCATTAACTATAACTGATACCGAGCTCGATCGGAGGCATTCTTGTATCCAACTTCTCCAAGTTTCACAAAAACCCATTCTTAGCATCATATAATTTATGAATCCCCAGCATACCTTATCGTACACTTTTTCGAAGTCAACTTTAAAGAGGAAAGATTTCTTCTTGTTCCTTTTGGCCTCGTCAATCACCTCATTTGCAATTACTACCCCTTCTGCTAGTTGTCTTCCTCGAATAAAAGCCATTTGCTGCTCCCCAATCACCTTATGAATCACTTTCCTCAGTCTATTTGTGAGCAGCTTTGCTAGGATATTGTACATAACCCCAATGAGTGAGATGGGCCTGTATTCTTCAATTTTTTGGGGGTTATCCACTTTGGGGATTAGGACAATGAATGAGGCATTTTATCCTTTGGCAATCTTGCCTTGCTTATGGAACTCTTGCACAAACCCAACAATATCAGCTTTAATATCTTCCCACATATTCTTCACAAATCTGAAATTGAAACCATCTGGGCTTGGGGATTTTGAAGATTCACAATCCCATATTGCTTCCTTAATTTCTTCTTCAGAGAAGGTTACTGTTAGGATGTCATTGTCAGCTTCAAATATCTTGTTGAATATAATGCCATCTAGCTTTGGTCTCTCCCATTTCTCTTCTGTAAATAATTCCTCAAAATATCTGGCCACCTTTTCCTTTATTTGTGCCACCCCTGTATGCTCGTCGTCTTTGATGCGAATACTAAGAATTTCGTTCCTTCTATTTCTTCCTTTCACACATGTATGAAAATACTTTGTATTCGTGTCCCCTTCTTTTAGCCACATTTTTCTTGATTTTTGTTGCCACATGCTTTCTTTGATTTTAATGTTCTTCCACAATTCTAGAAAGCAATTTTTTCTTTGTTCCACGTCATGTGGAGAAAGTTGGCCCTTTTCTCCTTTTTCATCAATTGCGGCTATCTCCTTTTCAGCTTCTTTAACCTTTCTCTCCACTTCTGAAATGGCATTTCTGTTCCACTCCTTTAGCTTATTCTTAGTTCTTTTCAACTTCTCCTTATGTACCCATTCCACCCCGTTACCTTGGTGATATTCCACACCTCTGTGATAATCTCCTTGCATCCCCGTTGATCCAACCAAGCGTTGAAAATTTTGAATGGTTTTGGACCCCAATCTATGCTCTCATTTTTCAACAAGATAGGGCAGTGATCCGATACTAACCTACTTAAACCCCATTGTTTCACATCACTCCAATTCAAGATCCACTCCTCCGTCATCAAGAATCTATCAATTCTGCTCATGTATTGCCCATTGGAGTTATACCAAGTATATTTCCTTCCCGCCAAAGGTAAATCTATTAGGCATGTATTTGTATAAAATCATCAAATTCCCTCATTTCCCTGCTCCCTGCTCGTTCTTCTACTTTTCTCACTACATTGAAGTCCCATGCTAAACACCATTTCCCCCCTCTGCTAGTGATTAACCTCTGTAGTTCTTCCCATAATGCTCTTTTACCCATCAGCAAGCATGGAGAGTAAATATTAATTATATAAACTATAGTGTCTTCCTCTCCCCACAACCCGCAAACTCCCAAATAATTTTCCCCTTCTACTACCCCTTTCTTTCTGAAAACTTTTGAGTTCCAAACACAGAGCAACCCTCCTGACCTTCCATTTGATGCCTTCGCTACCCAATCAAAATCATCTGACCCCCATACCCTTCTACATATACTCATATCCACATTCTCCAAGTTAGTCTCCTAAATCGCCATGAACTCTATTTTTTCTTTCAATACAAATTCTCTAATCTGCCTTTTTTTTCCAACTCCTCCAAGCCCTCTAATGTTATATGACAACAGAATCATTTAAATTTTTTCTTACCCTCTTTGATGCCTGTCGCCTCTGTCATCACCATGTTTGCTTTCTCCTTTTTATCTCGTTTCTCCATTTCATCAATTCTCTAGGTAACTTGTTGTTCATTTTCTACCACCACCCTTAGGCTTTTCGCAAATTCCCAAATGTCCTCCGCTAGCTGATCTCGCCTTTGCCTCTCCACAAGTCTATTACAGTTCATGATGCCACTATCTCCAATTGATTCCCCAACTATTTTACTGCTAGAAGACAAGATGAGTGCCGGTGTTGCCTTTCCTTCCTTTCCTTGAGTTTGTTTCCTTCCTTAGGAGTTCCTTCTCTAGCTTTCTGCAATTGCATCTGTAGTGTTGGAGTACAAAGATCTGCAAGAACGGCTTTTCCTTTTCTTCCTCTTCCGGATCTACTCTATCTGCTTGCACATCCAGTGTTTCAGTCGGCCTTCCTCACTTTCGAAACCCTTCCAGAATGGATCTATTTCTTCTTCCTCAGTAACATCCTCCTCTGTTTTTTGTGTAATGAATTTTTCTCTTTTTTTGGGTCTGATTGGGCTTGTCACCGATTGGGCCGAACCCATGCTAGCTGCTTCCTCACACACCCTCCTGGTCACTTGCTTGCTGGGCTCTTCACTTAACCTTTTGCTAGACTGTTCTTTCAGGCCCACCTTTACCTCATCCTCTTTGCGTGTTTGTGTTAACCTTGCCTTTTCCCCATGCTCCTGCGTCACATCCAGCCTCCCTATACTTTCTGCTCCTTCTTTTGAAATTTGAATTTGGGCTAGGCTGTCAACAACTACTTCGTCTGACTTCTCTTCATTTTGGCTATCTTGTGATTGAGACTTTTTTTATATTTTTTCCCCTTCCACTCGCCACCTCATCACCTTCTTTCCCTGCATCTATGCTGCTCACTTCACTCGGTTCCTAGGTTTTTTCAACCCCTTCCTCCATTGCATCCGTATCAATACCTAGTGACCATGATTCGTGATCCTCTGAATCACTGTGAAATGAGGGTATGAAATCTTGTTTCAAAGAGAAAAAACTGTTGGAGAACTCTTCCTTTTTGAACTTAATATTGAACAACACCCCATTGACTTTAACTTGGTGTGTAATTGAAATTGTATCCATAATTGGGGTTGAGATCAGAAATCTAACTATGTCAAACCTCCTTTTGTTGCTTGTGATGTCATCAAGACAAATGAATTTCCCCCAAGAGCTGCCCATTTTTTCAAAGAATTCACACCCCCAAGCATTTAAAGGTGCCCCTTGACACCTAATCCACACAAACCTTTCTTGAGCTACCAAGTTTGGTTTCCAAGGTCGAACTTCTGCGAACCATTGTCCAAGCCAATCTGCAGCCATTTCAACTAGGTCTTTTAACTCTTCTTTATCCTCACAGTCCAGCAAAACCAGTTTACCCCCCATTACTCGGACTCTACATGAGAAATACCCCTCCATGTAAAACTTCTCCTACAAATTCCTAACCATTTCTACTGAGTGTGCCGTCCCCACAAAACAGCCTTCTAGCCATGCATATTCTTCTTCTTTAATGTTGTATTCTATTTTGGCCCAACTTGCTCCCTTTCCTTTTTCTTTCCATATTTTTCTGCTTTCAATAATATCATTACCCTCACTGTTTCTGATCTCGCCTCTTCCATGCCTTCTCATCTGATCTACTTTGGATTCCTCCTTGCTCCCCCCCTCCTTTGTTCTAGCTCCCTGTCCTTGCAGTACCTCGGCATAGCTCCTGCTCTGAGATTTTGGTGCCATTGTTTGTCCATTTCTCCCCTTCTTTTCTTCTTTCTTCTCATCATCATATCTTGGAATATTAACCCATAGCTTCTGATCTCCTACCCATATCTGATCAAGTTGTCTCTCCAGCTCCCTTTTATCATTAACATTGAGGAATCTGACAAATCCAAATCTGCCTCCACTTCTACTTTTTCTGTTTGGACTATAGATATCGTAAACCCTTCCAAACTTTAAGAAGGTTCTCCACATATCTGTGTAGCTCCACTCTTCAAGGAAGTTGGTGAAGAAATAAGGAATGGCTTGTTTATATAAGCCCTTATCATATAATCCCAGTTTTTGCATCCTCTGGTTCCTCTGTACCCCCTATTCCCACTGCCTCTAGTTTGCTAGCTCATGACCTCGCTATTGGCTTCTTCCTCTGGATTTTGCATACTCTCGATTCCATGTTGTCCATGTTGCCCGTGCTCGTCGTCCGCCTCCTACTCCTCTCTCTCTCTCTCATCTCTCGTTAGGCATTCCTTATACTAATATTTTTTAGCCAATGTTGATAAATAGTTTTGCGGCAATTTTTTTTTTATATCAATAATAATGTTAATAAAAAAAACATGTATTTGCATCAATATTTTGTAGCTTAAGCTTTTATGGTTACATTCTTGTAGTGTGATTCCGAGGATCAAGGAGAAAATTTTGGATCCAAAATTTTCATTTTTGAGAGCAAATTCATCACATAAATTTTCCATCTGTTTTGACTTTTGAGGTATGTCATGTCCGGAGCTTAATTTAACCGGCTTGCCAATCAAGTTACACATTCTTTTTGCATACATAGAAAAAGGAAGAAGACAGACCATAAATTAGTGTGATTGCCCAAAACTATATCCGAATTAGTTAATATGAATTCGGTACACATTCCTAATTGGCTCGTTAGAAATCAAGATATTTTAATAATTAAAGGTCAAAAATAATTATAATAAATTTTAAATATTTATAATAAATCAATGCACATAAAAAATTTATTAAAAATATTTAAATAATTTTGCAAATAGCCTCAATATTTTAAATAGATCAACAGGTGTTGATTTTCTCTTTTCTCTTCCTAATTATTGTCATTCTGAATCTTTCCATGTTAATTAAAATCTCCATTATTCTCCACTCTCCTAAACAAACCGGGAAATTCGAAATTGTATATATAATAATAACACCGCTTATTACAGCGATTTGTACACATATAATTCAAAGTAACCTTAATTTGCCTCAAACTTTCTCAATCTGATCAGCCAGAGCCATGGTTACCCCGAACCAATCCAAGCCTAAGGTCCCCAACAACAAAACCAAGACAACCAAAGGCCGGCAGAAGGTTGAAATCAAGAAGGTTGAGAAGAAAAGCAACCTCCAAGTCACCTTCTCGAAGCGCCGCCAAGGCCTATTCAAGAAAGCTAGTGAGCTCTGCGTACTGTGCGGTGCTAAGGTCGGTATCATCGTCTTCTCTCCAAAGGACAAGCCATTCTGTTTCGGCCACCCGGACATAGAGACCGTCGTGGACCAATATCTTATGGAACACCAAAACCCTAGTTTTGATTTATATGGTGATGTCTACCGGTGCCAGGAATTGCTTCAACTGAATAAGGAGTATGAGTCGCTGGTGATGGAGCTGGAGCGGGAGAAGATGATTGCGAAGGCAATTGAGGAAGGGAAGATCAGGTTTGATGAGTTTTGGTGGGATAGGGATATTAATAGCATGGGGATGGAGGAGCTTGAGGAGTACGTGAACACCATGGAAGAGATGAAGAATAAGTTGGACGTGAGGGCCGATGACCTAATGACGAAGGAGGTTGCGGCCTCCACAAGCACGGCGGCGGAGGCAGCCGCGGCTGAAACTGTTGAGGTTGGAGATAGTGATTTCACCATTGATGCTACTGATCTAGGTTTATAGGTTCTTATGAAGGTGCGCAGTTTCTGAATTTCTGAGATGGAAGGATGTTGCTGAATTTTAATTTTTTTGGGTTAATTTTTAATTAACTACTGCAATTATATTAGTAAAGTGGAATAAATTTTTCTTTTTCTTTTCTCGTGTTCTTCCTTTAAATGCAATTAGGACGACCAAAAAAAAAAAAAACATAAAGAATGTTACTCATAAATTTGGACTCTTAGAAAGAATCTCTCCATGTTTGGTAACTATACTAGATTTTAGAGACTTTATTAGCTCAGTCAACAGATCGTTAATTAAAAAAACTATCATAGATATATCAGTGCAAACATATCTATTATAATCTATAATAAAAATATTTTTCATTGTTTGTTAAAAAAAAATTAAAGAATATATAATCAAGGGGCAAGATATAAAGATACTGAAATTATACAATTGGATTCTCATTGTCATTAATAGAAAGTTTTGGAAGCACAATCAATTTAAATTGAAGTCTCTTGATTAGATTTTGTAATCTTTTATACTTATGGTCTTTGCATAGTAAATATGTTTTTCTCTTTTCAAAATATTCTCCAGATTATAAAAATATTAATATAGAGATTAGTACATATAAGTCTTAACTCCAAAAACAATTGAAATCTCAACTTATATTTAAAAACTGAATTTTCAATTCAAAATTCAAAAATTCAATTAGTTTTCAAATCTAAATATTAATATTTAATAAGATAAATTTTAAAATTTTAAATTAAATTTTAATTAAATAAAACAATGTAATTTAAAGTTATAACTCTAATTTTTTAAAAAAATCAAAATTGATATGTATTTTTCCCATTAATATATCCTTAATATATTTTTCCCTTTGCACTGATTTATTAACAATAGAAGACAAACGACACGAATTTATACAGTTTCAACTTAAAAAAAAAAAAAAAAAAAAGTCTCGTCTTATATAGTACAGTCTATTGGGCGGCTTTGGGCCATAACATTCGCTATTAAAGGATTTGCCTAGTAACTAGTTAGAACATTAGGAAGCATCCAGCCAAATAAAAGGGCCCAATAAAACGGACAATTATCTTCCAAATCTTGTTTGGCAACCCAATTTTCATGGACTTGTTTGCCTTATGAGGATACAAACAAAATTAGAAATGAAAGAGTGGCATATGTAACAATAGCGACAATA